AATCCAGCTTGAATCTCTGGAAGTTCTATGTCAGTGTATGATTGTAGCCGTTTCTGTGTTACCTTTAGTAAAATTTTCAGTTGGTAGACAAGTGCAAACCACTTGTGCCACCCAGGGACATTCACTTGAGTACAAGCCATTGGCACCATTCAGGGACCCAGTGATGGTAATAGCTAGTGGGTATTATATCCCATTATAGGCTAGAAATCCTGATGTGGCCCTGTAGGATCAGCATTGGACTGCTAACCTCAAGGTCGGCTGTTCAAGCCCACCAGACGCTCCTCAAAAACCCTATAGAGGATGTCCATGAGTCAGAACCAATGCAGAGGCACTTATCAACAACAACATAGGCTCGGTTGAAGTTCTGATGTGGCACTGTAAGATCAGCACTGTACTATACAGGGTGGCTACGAGTCAAAACCAACTCAGCAGCACTTAACAACAGGTGAGATTCTTTTCATATGTTATTTCATTATTTCTAGCCCTTGCTACAGTGTTATGAGGAAGAAGCGGCTGTCCGCACCTCATAGGCAGGCCACGCAGTAGAGTCGATAAGAATAAGAAATCGTCAGTAAGTGCTGGAGCCAAGCCTTAAAACCAGATTGCCTGGTTTAAAGCTAGGCTCCAGTACTTACTAACTGCCGAAGTTTGGCAAATTACTTAAACTTTCTCTGCCTCAGTATTGTCATCTATAAAATGGAGCATCTATAAAGATTAAGTGAGTGAATGAATACATATAAAGTACTTCCAACAGTGCTCGCTCGGCATGTAGTAAGCACTCAGTAAACATTAACAATCTGATCATGGCTGATTGGAGACTCCCTAGCAAGCTCTGCTTCTAACCAGGGTACGACTCTCAGACTTACTGCCTCACTAAACAGATGGGCAAATCAGGGCTCAGTGAGGACGGAGGGCTTCTCCCAGAGCAAGAACTTGAAGGCAGAGCTTGAAAAGAGGCCGATCTTCTGATTTCCCAGCCAAGGTTCCTGTCCCCAGTACTTTGCCAGGCTCTGGTGCTGATAAAGACCCACTCAGGGCCTCTGGTGGCATGTCAGGGGCATATCATAGGAAGTCCACAGCATTGCAGAGGGCAACAGTCTCAGTGTGCAGGGCTCGGGCCCCTGTCCCGCACTACACATGGACCCTTCATAAGGCCAGAGGCAGAACTGTCTTCTCAGAAGCTGGGAACCCCTTATGGAACCTACAGGCTAGCCTCTCCCATACTCCTGAAGAGAGTATTATTTCATCCAAGTCCCATCTAGCTGGTAAGCTTGGATGTTGAAGAACTTACATGGGTACACTAGCACAGGTAGGGATCTCAGAACATTCTTACCATAAAGGCAAGACCTACCAGACACTTGGGTCCACTTGCTGGCATGGAAGCGGGTAGGAAGGACTGTTGAGAATGGAAATGTAAAAAAACATACTAACACCCCATTCATGACCTCGGGAGGACTGAGTAGAATGGTGCCACAGGATTTCCAGGGCTATCAATCTTCACAGGAGCATCCAGCCTCATCTCACTCCCAAAGAGCAGCTGAGAGGTTTGAACTGCTTATCTTACGGTTCCCAGTCCAATACCAGGGCACCCTGGAGTAACAACCTAACCCATTGCAAGACCCCACAGGGCAGAGGAGAACTGCTCCGTGGGACTTCCGAGACTGTATGTTTATACGGACAGCCTTGTCTTTTTTAAGCTGAGAAGTCAGTGGGCTTGAACCACTGACCTTGTGGGTAGCTGCCCAATGCTTAACCCACTGTGCTACCACAGCTTCTTTGAGTTCACAAACACATTCTTCTCATCCTAACAGCTCTGGGAGGTCAGGTCTGTCCCATCACCCACTTTAGAAACCAGTGTCAACCTTAAGCCCTAAAGTCAGGTCTGTTTCTAAAGCCCCGTCACTCTTAACCCCTCGGTTCATTTGACTCCACCATGGGCACCCTAAGTGAGTCAGCAGGTTGAGCGGATGCTTCCAAGATTAGAATTGATTCTAGATTCTACGTGCTTTTATAGAACCACCCTATGAAGCAGGTGTCATTATCACCCTGCTTTTACAAATGTGAGCCCCTGGGTGGTGCAAATGGCTAATTCTCTCAGTTGATAACCAAAAGTTAATGGTTGGAGTCCACCCAGCAGTGCCTCGGAAACGACTTCTGAAAATCCAGCCTTGAAAGCCCTATGAAGCACAGTTGTACTCCAACACCGATACGGCTGTGATGGCTTAGAACTGACTTGAAGGCAACTGAACACTGGTCTGATATAAATGAGTAAACTGAGACCTGCTAACCCAGATCCACAGAACCCATGGTTTACCCAGAGCTGCCCGTACCTCACCTACTTATGTAATGATGCGCGTGCTTATGTGCCTGCAAGTGTGTGTGTAGAGGGCAGAAAACAGGGTATCGGAGATAAACAGAATCCCAGTTTCAGCTACATGTCTATTTTTTATTCAATATATTAAATATATTAATCAGAAAAGTCACATACTATAAATCCAGGAAAATACACAAATATAAATGTCAGAATCTGTCCTTTGTCTTCCTCCTAGAGTGACAGTTTATGTACATGTGGAAGGAGGGTGGGAAGAGAGAGCAAGTCTAAGAAGGCTGGAAAAAGACTAGCCCAGGCTGGTGCGGAGCGCCATCCCTCCTTCCCAACCCCCAACTCCCACCTCAACCTCTGCCTTTATGTATTTACAGCAGCAGTGGACTTATTTACAGCATGGCGGTATGTGTTAAAAACGGTTTATCTTACAAAAACATGAAGGCCAGGGGTGGACTGGGGGGTAAGACAAATAGTGGGGGCCACCTCCATGAAGGCACCCCCCCTCACACTGCCTTGAGCTCCCTGCTGACTTCCAAGAGCAATTGAGGAGGTTAGTTGGTCTGCAGCTCAAGGCCAGCTGGGGGAAGCGGTGCTCTGGGGTTCATGGGCCAAAGGCACGTGGGGTGGTGTACAAGCATGCACACACATGCTCCTGGGCTGGGGTCAGAAGGGCAGCGTGTCCATAAAGATCTTGTCGACGATAGGCGGAGGGGGCACCAAGTCCTCCAGCTTGAGGTAGAAGATGCGCTGCAGGCCCTGGGTACACAGGGTCCGGAGTTCAGGCAGCTTGCCCAGCAGGCGGGACAAGCAGCTGGCTGGCTGGGCCTCACCCGCCACGGATGAGACGTGCTCTTTCAGGCAGCTGGCAATGCGGTTCTGCAGATCCTCCACCCGCCGAGGTTCCTGCAGCCCATGCCGGTCTGTGAACAGGGTGTGGAATTTAGTCACTCGTTCAAGGACCAGGGTCTCTCAAACTCTGCCACTGACCACTCTTTAGGCACTCTGCAAAAGCTTACACACACACACACACACACACCCATTTTCAAACCTCATCAGAAGCCTACATGGACAGTAATAACACTGATTATCCTTACAGTCCAAGTGAGAAAAGGAGACCCAGAGAGATTACTTGACTTGTCAAGATTGCAAAAAAGAAAGAAATTGTAACCGAGGTTTTCTAGCTAGGCCAGTGGGGGTCTTCCCCACAGGACGGTTCTAAGAAGCTACAGCAATAGTGTTTCAGAGTCCACGCCCAGGGAAAGTTAGTCCCAGAATCCACCAGTCTAGTCCTACTTTAGCCCAGAGTGCAGCTGATTTTGCTTTACATGCTAGATTTCCATTAAGGGCGGAAAGCGGGTGATGGACTCAAGTGCTTTTAAACATAAAAAGGTATCTGAAAACCCCTATACTTGACATCAAAGAATTCATCCTCTTTAGACTCGGGAGATCATACGTAAATGTACACTAACAATTACATAAAGTACAAACGCTGGCAAAGGTAATCCAAACTGTGAGAAGTCAGGACAGTAGTTTCCAGGGGGAGAAAAGGACCAATGGGAAGCAGCTCAGCAGGGGTCCCAGTCACAGTGTTTCCAGAGCTAGGTGCTTGTTATGTAAGTGGCTTCCTTTGTGAACACTTCTCATTTATGCACTTTTGTGTATGCATGTTATACTTCAGTGAGCGTGTTTAAAGCAAACAAAACCCCCAGGCCATACATAACACCACACAGGCTAGACCTTGGGTGATGCAGAGACAACCACAGTCAACCACAATCCGATCCATGGTAACCTTCGTGTGTCAGAATAGAACCATGCTGTGTAGAGCTTTCAAATGCTAATTTTTTTTTTTTTAATAGACAGTCAGGTCTTCCTTCCACGGCATCTCTGGATGGATTTGAACTGCCATGCCAGCCTTTTAGTTGGCAGCTAAGTGTGTTAGCTGCTTGCACCACCACCTGGTATGGTGTTGTAGGATACGCACTAGACTGCAAGATTGGTTTGAACCACAAGGTTGGAGGTTCAAACTCAACAGCTGCTCCTCAGAAACCCTATACAGGGTTGCTGTAAGTCGGAACTGACTCAAAGGCACTTAACAACAAAACTCAGAGACTCCAGGATTTTGAGTTATCTGGGATATTTCACAGACTTGATTGGGCTTTGGAGTAAAATGCAACTAAGCGTGCCCGAGCTCTGCTACTCTGAGCAAGTGCCTGCCGGTGTCTGACTCTTGGCTGCTAGACTTCACAGCAGATGTTGAGTTGGGTAGGGGGCAGTCCTCCTGAAGACCAATCAGCTCCTCCACCCCCCACCTCCAATTCCTTTCCTTGAGCCCCAAGGACCCAGCTTGGTGCTGGTTGCTCACCAGTAATGAGGACGAGAGCAGAGAGGCAGGCAAAGGCAGGGACATCGACGACCAAGCTGTGCAGGGACCGTGAGAAGGCCAAGATGCTATCAATCCAGTCACCGAAGCCGCGGGCACACTGGAGCCGATGCAGCACCAGGCCTGAGCAGAAGATGAGCTTCCCTTCGGCAGCCTTGGAACTGGTCAGTAGTGGACACAGATGGACAGTCAGGGTAGCTCACAGGCAGGGCAGTTGGGGGAGGAACCAGCCAGATAGCAGGCAGCTTACCGGTAGGCTAGGCGGAGGATAAAGAGTTCCAGAAAGGCCGACTCCAGCAGCAAGTCTTGGTCACCAGGTGACAGCTCAGCAAAGCCAGGAATCTTCTCGGCCCATTTGCGGATGACTTCCAGCGAACCTGAGAGCAGGTCGTAGAACTGCTGCACGTCCCCGGCATCTTCCTTCCCAAAACGCGGCAGCATCAGCTCTTGGAACTAGGAAAGCAGTTCAGTGGTGTGAGCACCCTGTGAAGGCCCCACACCAGAGCCACCATGGGCGGCTATGCCATGCACCCAGATGCCCAGTAGAGGCAGAAAAGGTAAGACTGAAATTACTTTGACCCATGCTCTTGCTTGCCAAATCTCACAAATTACCCCTGGGCTGTGGCTTCTGGAAGAAGCACATTTTTTCTAATTGGCCCCCTAAGTGGTACAGTTTCCCACCCAGTCAGCCCAAAGTGTTGTGCTAGAGAGGGCACCCTCCTAATGTGCACCAAGGCACTGACTGCTGGCAGGAGAAGGAGCAGGCTGGGGCACGGCAACACCTCACCTTGGAGTAATCCAGTTTAGAAGTGTTGGGCCCTGCATCCAGGTGTGCCCGGACCAGGGACGTGAGGAGGTTGGCAGGGGAGGCATCTGGGGGCTGTTTGGGTTTTGAAGGGAGCCGACCCCGCCGCCCCTTCAGACTGTCTGTCCGGACAACTGCAGAGAAATGGGCCAGAGTGAGGTAAGGAGGAAGCAATCCCATGGACCCTCAGAAGTTGTGCACACTAACACTGGGAAGTGTTAAACCCAGGGGACCCAACAAGGACCTTCTCCACCTGTCACAAGCCAGATTGGCGGAAGCAATCTCCTGCTCTCAGACCCACACAGTTGAAGATAGAGGTGGAAATAAGGTGCAGACCTGGCCTCCCCTGTGGCCTATCAGGGATTCATCTGGGGGACTTGCCCAATTCTACCGCTCAGCTGGCCATAGCCACCCACCTTCCTTCACCATGCCCACAGCCAGGCACTTCTGGAAGCGGCAGAACTGGCAGCGGTTTCGCCTCCTCTTGTCCACAGGGCAGTCCTTGTTGGCTAGGCAGATGTACTTGGCGTTTTTCTGCACTGTGCGCTGGGGGAGGCAGGGGGGGGGGCAACACGGAACAGGCTGTCAGAGAGTGGGGTGGGGAGGGGGGCAAGTCCAGGGGAGGGGACTGTCCAGATCCTGCTGCCATCACAAACAAAAGCACTCTCTGTTCACAGCTATTTTTCTAACATTTGGGTGGCAGGGGAGGGAGATGGAAGGGTGGTGGGGAGGAAGAGGAAAGTCTTGGGGGCTCTAGGGGAGGTTTCTGCCCCAGGGGGAGGACCCCAGGACCTAAGGTTAAGGCCCAGGCTCTCCAGCAGTCCAAACACCTGTGCTTTTCATTGCGTCCACCTGCCCCTTTCCCGGGCCGACAAGAGGGCCAAGGAAGGCCTGGGGGTGGGACGGGAAGCTAACCACGCACCCAGCACTGGGACAAACACACAGCTTGTTCCCAAGTCCACCCCTAGCCCTCAAGCACCAAGCCCTCTTCCCGGATCCTTTCATCTCATGCCAAGAACATGAGTGCATGGGGCCCCCCTTTCACTAGGACCTTGAGTTGGGGGAGGGCGGGCAGAGAAAAGCCAGAGGCTGGCCTTAAGAATCTCCTCTTCTGGTACCCCTGCAGTCTGCCCCCTCTGCCCACGTCTCATTCCCTTGGGGCAAGTCCATCTGGCAGTCTTACCCCTTTGCTGCAGGCTACCACAGACCCCTCTGGGCACAGAGATCTGCCTGTCCCCAACCCCTTCAAAGGGTCCCACCTAGAATATCAAGGTAGGTACCTTGAAGAAGCCCTTGCAGCCCTCACAGGTGCGGACGCCGTAATGCTGGCAAGAAGCGTTGTCTCCACACACTGCACAGCGCCCCTCGCTTCCACCAGGAACCCCACTCAGGGCCTTGACCGAGGACACAGGCGTTTCCAGCATCCCCGCGCTGTCAAGGTGTGGAGAGGTGGGTGCCAAGCCTGGGAAAGCAGTTGGCATGGCATAGCTCTCACCCTCCCCCAGCTGGTGGGCAGCCTGTGAGGGGAAAAGCTTCAAGGGGCTTTGGGCAAGGCTAGAACTGGGGCCAGTGGGGCCACTGAAGGAGAAGAAGTTGGGAGGCTGGGGGTGGCCAGAGGCCTTGGGTAGCTGCTCTGTCCATGCCCGCAGGCCTTCATAAGTCTGGCTGGGTGAGAAGTGGCCAAATGAGCCATCCCAGGGAGAGAGCTGGGGCGGCTGGAAGCTGGGTGTGGAAGGTGACGGAGCGGAGCAGGGACTGCCATAATAGTCAGAACCGCTGGAGGACAGGGTCTCATCTGGTGGGCCGCTCAGGGTGCCTGGGTAGCAGCCATACACCTGGAAGTCTTCGAACTTGAAAGAAGTAGAGGCAGGGGAGGTGGCTGAAGATGAGGACGTGGAGGAGGCTGAGGAAGAGGCCGAGGAGAAGGGCTGGGCAGTTCCTGGCAGCTGGTAGAGGAAGGTGTCAAACTCTCCTGTGTAGCCATCCATGAAGGTGCTGAAGCTGGGCAAGGCAGTGGGAGCAGCGGGAGCCGCCTCAGGGCTAGCCAGGTCCATAGTGGGTTTGCTGAGCTCAGGGGTCAGAGGATCGTTTGCCAAGTGGTCACGGCCTGCAGGGCTGGGTGCTGGTGTCCCATATTGGGCTTGGATACAGGGCATCTCTGGAGAGGTAGAAGAGCCAAGGAGCGAAAGGAGAGAAGTCAATACAAGAAGTCTGATGCCTCATTTTAAAGTTTAGAACCCCCAGGCAGCCAGGTGGCAGGAACCCCAGATAAGAGATGGGACACAGAGGCCTTTGGGCTGTGACTAACCACAAAACCCAGGATCTTGACCCCTGGCCAGAGCACCATCTCAGCCTACATGCCCCAAAGTCCCTGGGCAGTGGCCCAGCGAGAGTGGGCTCAATCAGAAGGCCAGCCACACCCCAGTCGGCCTGGGAACCCTCAGAACGGCATGTAGCCAGCATTTCTCTGCTGGAACAGGGGGAAGCTGTGTTCCTCCAGCCCCCTGTCCCTCCCCTACTGGGTGAGGGCTGAGAGAAGGGTGGGTGGGAGAGGCAGCCAGGCAAAGCCTGATGCCCAGTCCCCACCACGAGCACATCTGTTGTTTCTCCAACCAGGCACTTCCTGAGAATATTCCCAGGCACAGCCCAGCCTTCTGCAAAACCCATTTTTTTTCTCTTCCCCCAACAGTGCCTAGAAGAAAGGTATCCAGGAGAGGGAAGAGAGATTGGGAGTAAAGGCTCAGAGCCTGCCCTACCGAAGAAGCAATGAGCCACCTTTCATTCTGTCCCCACCCAACAGACTGAGCAAGAATTGCAGATCTCACACATTGCCTATCCTGCCATCTGGAACTGGGCACCCACTGTACTCTGCCTGGGACGCTCCCAAAAGCCTAGGGGAAGGGAACCCAGGCCTCCCCAACCAGTTTCCAGCTCCCTAGGGGATTGAGGACCATGCTCCAGACCTTTAAAGGCTACATGCTGGAGAAAGGCTGAGGGGGAGAAGAGAACAGTCCCGTGGACCTCCCGGGAATAGACAGTCCCTAAGAGGAATTTCCCTGCTATCCCTTAAGCACTTCTCCCTGTTCACTTTATAAGAGGAACACTCAGATAAAAAAAAATAAAAAAAAAAGATAAAATGACTCTGTTCTGAGTGCTCCCGTGCCTAAATCCTTAACTTCAACATACACAAGGCTTTTAAAAGTTCACTAAAAAATTTCACGTTGTCTGTGAATTTTTCTTATTTTCCCCTTACATCTAAGTTTCTACACTCAAGAATAGTACAAATTCAATTTTGTTAATAGAAACATGGATCTCTCCTGCTTTTGAGTGACTGCCTCTTACAAAATAGTATAAGGCATTTGGTTAGTGTTAAAAAGACAGACAGACGACAATCAAAGTCCATGAGAGGCCATAAGATGGCTATATGCAGGAAGGAGAAGTAGCCTGCTCCTGTCTGTGCCCTAAAGAATCCAGGGGCTTGAGGAAAGGGGGCAGATACCCCAACCTGGAGGAAGAAAAACATACTCATTGAGGGGCTCTTTAAATTCAGAGACTAGTCAAAATAATGCTGAGGTAATTCCAGAAGTCTCCCACCTGGGGATATAACTCTGGCCTCACCAAACTGGGATGGGGGCTGGGAACGAACTCAAGCTGGCACACAGACTACCATGAAGAGAGGGGTACAGTGGATGGGGCAAAGGGTGTCACCAACCCATGACCAAAAGCCTAGGCTGTCCTCTGTCTGGCCTTCTCCCACTTCTATAGGCTCTACATGGGGCAGCTCTAGCCCTGGCCTGACATATACTACCCAGGCAACAGAGCCCCTTAGAGCTCTGGCCCTACCTGCCCAGAGGTGCCCATCCATAAGCATGTAGCCCTGGGCACCTGCTTGAGATAAGGGCAGCCACGTCTTCTGTCTCCCAGTACCAGGACAGGCTGGGCAGGGAAAGATGGGCTGGGGGTGGAGAGAGCAGCAGGTAACCACACAGGGCTGGGCGTTCCAGCCTTATTCAAATCCTGTTTCTCCACTAAGACGTCCCACATCCGGATCAACCCCCAAAAACCTAGCCCCCGCCACCCCACCCCCCAGCTTTCAGACTGCGCAGGTAGTTAACACAGGGCTTACATCCAGCCCCATGGGGGGAGGGGGGCAGCAGTCCTCCAAAGAGGAGGAAGAGGCGGGGTTGAAGGAGGGAGTGGGGAGAATCCGGCTTCAGGCAGGTCCTGGCTACAATGTGGTTTGCACCTGTTATGTTGAACAAGCCTGAGGCTGCACTCTACCTGAGAGATCCAACAGAGACTATGGGGGGAGGAGCAGGAGAAGATCAGGATACCGGGACTGAGTGGTGGCGGTGTTAGGATCCTTCCGGAAGCCCCACACCACAGGCTCCTACATTAAGAACTCTCTCCAGGATTCCCAAGTACAAGGACATCCCTACAGAAACACACACACACATACGGGATCCAAGCCACAGCTAAAACAACACTCCCAGTGCTTCCTGAGACAGACTCTGCCCCCATCCCTGTTCCTACCCCTGGGAAAACTCACTTATTCCCACACTCAGCCAGCACCCCTTCTAGTTCAGTCACCAGTGTTAGGTTCCCTTTGGTGATCCAGAGGTCTCCTGATACAGCCCAGACAGAAACTTCGGGCTGGGGATTCCTGCAAACTAAACCACAGCCCCTAAAACCTTAAGAAAGCATCTAGGGAAGGGAATTTCCCAGGTTGGGAGAATGGAGATCCTTTTGGAAATCCGAACCTGGTTGGTGTCCGTCCTATGGTTCCCCGCTTGTTCCTTTTCCCACACGCTATGGAGATCCCCATCAGCATCCAAATCCAGAGCACTGTGTGCTGACTTGGACTTCCCGGGAGACTGAACTAAATCCAGCTGTCAACTGGACAAAGTGCTTACTCCTAGCTCCAACCCCAACCCTCTGCGACTTCCACCTTGCACTGACACCCCACCTCCGGCACTCGGCAGACTGCAGTCCAATCTGGATGCTCACCTCCTTCCAACCGCTACCTCTTTCAAGCCCAGAGGGATACCGTACACCTGCCCCTACAAAATACTTTCAGCCCACGCATACACTCCATCACCTCCATGCAACACCTCTAAGAGCCAAAACACGGCGACCCATTCAGATGCACGCTCCCCGTGGGGCACCTACCCAGCCGCCGGCTCCTGCTCTCCTTGTCCGGGGCCAGCACCCTGAGTCGTAGTCCGGTCCCCTTGTACGCTTCAACAGTCTCAGCACACTCCCCCAACTTTCACAGCCTCTGCTACTGGGGCTCCCCGACCGAGCCGGACCCTCCTCTTAAGCACTCCGTGACGCACGGTGAGGAGCGGGGGTGCCAGTGACGCACGCGGCAGTGCGAGCTTGGCCATACAAGGGCGCAGGGGGCGGTGCGGTTCCGGCGGGAGGCGGACAGAGGGAGGCGCTCGGCTGGGGAGCCCGAGGGGGCGGGGCTAGGAGCCCGGAATGTCTGCGCGCGTGACGCACGCGCGGGGTTCCATTGACGCAGGGAGCGCGGAGTGTTTGATCTATAAATAGTTCCCTTGCACCGCTGCGCAGGCTAAAAATAGCAGCTCCCCAATTCTCCAGGCTCCCCCACCCGACTCGGAACCAGATCGGGGAGCCTCCAAGTCCGAAATAACCGGCCGGGAGGGCCAGAGCCCGAGATGAGGGTGCTTGAGAGCTGTGGCCGTGGGGCTTCCCCGAACGAGGATCTCCTTGCCCTCCGGCTGCTCCCGGGCGCCTCAGCCGAGTCGGGCCTCTAGGCACCCTTGGTGCCCGACTCCGCCTTTGCCCCCTCCCAAGCCCTTTCTAGAGGCTTGGGGTATCGCCCTCTGCTGCTGCTGGGCGGCCAGGGCAGGCCTAGAGCTCGGGTAGGCAACCCAGGAACACCCTATTGTGCCTGCTTTCTCACCTCTGCCCCAGGAGCAGCTTGTGCACTTGGCCAGAACTTGGTTACCCTCAAGACGTCAGTTAGGGTCCTGCTTATTCCCTCCCACAATTACCCATGTAGAAGTGCCTTCCCAGGGCAGGCAGGTACTGGGCCCAACTTCAGCCCGGGGTGGATGGGATGGACTCTGTCATAAGCAGAAATATAGTTATCAGTTCACTCACAGTACCCTACTTGGGAAATTAACCAAATTTCAGAACCAAGTGAGAAATCTTTTCAAACTTATGCCAGCAGTCTTCCATACTATAAACAAATAATTATAAGCATTATTTCTCGGGCTCCGAGAAATAATGGGCCACTGACTGCTTCTCTGGGGATTTTTCCATATCCTTATCTCTACACTCCAGCTCACACTAGCACCTGGATAGGGAGTACTTCTGACCAGTGACATATAAACTGTCTCGAGTAGCAGAGAAGGGCAGGGCTGCATTGGAACAGACTAGGGTGCAGCCTTCCCTGGAACTATCATCCTTCCATGCTATCTCACCTCAAGCCTGGGCACCCTCACCAGCTAGGTAAGTGAGGGCTTATGAAGGGCTAATATATACAAGGAAACGGGAGCCACCCATTCCACTGGGGTCCCACCCATTTCCTTTCTCCCCTGTAAGTCAACATCAGTAAGAGTTTCTGCTTCCACTGAGCCTGCTCCCACCCACCCCACTCTCACTTCATCTGGTCACTGTGTAACACTTCCCTTTGCCCTCCAGACACTTCCTGCTCCTCACTTCACTCTCACCTCCTGTCTGGTTTAGCACGCCCTGTCCCCAGTCCCAACTTCTGTCCACCAAAGGGTCCCACAAACACCTCTCAGGCTTCATCTATTCCAGACAGAATTTGTCATCTCCCCTTTGCTGCCCACTACTCATTTCTGCTCCTGATGCTCTACATGCAACTTTTCATTTTGTCCCCATGTTCTTTTGAAACATCTCTTGGATCCCCCCATTCTGGAAGCTAGTCACACTGACCAACTGGATGAGTCCAAGGACTTGCCCTTCTCCTTGCCTAGGACCATTAAGAATACCACCTTGCAACCAGTCTGTGTTCTCTAAGTCCACCCTCTCCACTACAGATGGAGAAGTCTTCATTTGATATCAGTGCATTAAATGATCAGCTTAGAACCTGCCACCAATCCTTGATCTCAGTGTAATCAATGTTTTCAGAGACTTTGGGTTTACTCAAACCATCTTCCATGGACCCTTCGGGGATTGGATTCCTGGATGAGGGTGACGGATGCATGGGCAGGGCAGTGTGAATGAGACCCATCCAGGACCCCCACCCCATTCCACTCCAAGTTCTGTTTTTCTTTGGAGTTTTTCATAACATTTTGCTTGGAATAAAGGATTCCATGGCTGGAAAAACCAAAAAAGGGTTTGAAAACCACTAATAGAATTAATTTTGCAGATTAGAACCCCAGGGTTCAGAGAGGAGTTGGCACCTGCTCAGCAGCACAAACCTAGTCTGTTCTGGGAGACATTGGCCTGCCCACCTACCTTCACCCTATCCTGGGGTGCCTCCACCCCAGCAGACCTTCCACAGATTTTAATCTATCAGCAAAACAAATAAAAGCCAGGTCAATAGTCTTCTGCCATCCAAAATTACCAGCAAAGCACAAGTGTGTTATCTGTGGCTTGATCCATCTCTGCTCAGGCCCAACTTAACTCTTTGAGCTCTGCCTACCTAGCCTGTACCTTCTCCCAACCACCTTCCATTTGGGAACTCAAGCACAGTGAGGAGCAGTCCTGGCCTGGAGCCTAAGCTTCAGCCTCCAGATCTAGGCAAACAGCCCAGACCCTGCCTCTCCAGGCGGAGGCTGCTGCAGGCTGTGGGGAATGAGACGAATGCAGCTGCCCCCTGGCTAGCCCTTCATGCAATGCTGGGGGTCTGAAGAGACCACACTTTGAAAATAAGTAAATAAAGCACGAGGAGAAAAAGGCAGAGTCCCTTAGTATGAACACAGCTGGGCCTACCATTCAGATACACGGGTGCAGTACCTAACCCAAGACAAAACGACAGTAGCTAAAGTCTGAGGTCCTCCATGGAGGATGGCCGTAGGGCCCTGAGTTGGCACTCAAGTAAAATACAATTCGGGGAAGGCACAATTGACACTGAAGCGTAGTGGTTATGAGTCAGGCTGCAAACCTCAAAGTCAGCAGTTCGAAACTACCAGCTGTTCCGTGGAAGAAAGATGAGGCTTTCTGCTCTCATAAAGATTTACAGCCATGGAAACCCTGTACAGGGTTGCTATGAGTTGGAACAGACTCCATGGCACATAACCACCACCACCACCAAATACAGGCTCTGTGGAATAACGCACTGGACCACAAGGTCGGTTTGAACCACAAGGCTGGCAGTTCAAACTCACCAGCTACTCCCTGGAAACCCTATACAGGGTCGTTGTTAGTTGGATCCAACTCAGTGTCATGTCACAACAAGTATAGAATAAGCACTAGACTGCTAACCTCAAGGTCAGTGGTTCAAACCTACCAGCTGCTCCTCGGAAATCCTATTCAGAGTCACTACGAGTCAAAACAAATTCGACAGCATTTAACAAGTATAAGCTGAGTCCAGGTATGGCTCTGTTAAGAAAAGCACAGGACTAGAAGCCAACAAGATCGGCAGTCCAAACTCATCATCTGCTCTCGGTAATTCTACACAGAGCCGTTAATGAGTTGGAACTGGCTCGGCAGCACATAACAACAACAACAAGTATAAGGCGGCCCCAGGTTGAATGGAGACCCTCAATGGACACCCACAATCCAGCCTTCCAGAGCAAGGTCAGAGTGAACAGCTCACTGAGGATGGGAGAGGGTAGCTAATGCTAAGGCAAGTAATGATGGAAGACAAGTCCAAAATTAGAAAGGAGAAGGGAAAGCAGGGTTGTGGGAACACAAGAAGGGCAGAGAGAGAAGATGCCATGTTGAAGGCCAGAGACAGCCCCACACCATGGCCCACCTGTCTATCCTCATCACCCATAGCTCCCTACCACATAAGAACCTTGAGTTAGACCTTTCTACCACCTGCTTTCACATACTGTTTCACCCACTGGATCCACTGTTCTCTTCCTCCTTTCTACTCTACTCCTGCTCATTCTCCAAGATTTCAGTGCAAACACCACCCTCAGAGGCTAACCCAATTTTTTTTTTTTTACTTTTTATTGTGAATCCAGTGACAGTTTACAAAATAGATTATCAGTCCCACATTCAACTACTATACACTTGGTGTTATTACGATGATTGCATTTGCATTCTCTTCCATGTACCATCAGTTAATAGTATTGACCTGTTTGCTTTAATCTAGCACACCTCCCTGTGTCTACTGC